CCCCAAAACCCCAAAACCCCAAAACCCCAAAACCCCACCTTATTAAAGTTAAAGTTTTTGAAAGTAAATTTTATTGAAGTGAATTAATAGTTTTGCAAGTATACTTACTGAATAAATTCATGCAGTCAAGAATAATCATTGATTGTAAGTTATTTATATATAAAGTTACCTCAATTTATTTAACTGAAATATCCATAAAATTCTTTATATTTCAGAGTTCTCAAATTTACTTTGCTGATTAAGAAGTTGAAGCATATTTATTTTGGTAAGAGTGTTATTGATGCTTTATTTGTTAATAAAGGCCTTAGTTTTAAATTTTGAAGTACTCTGTCATTCTCTGATCTTTATGTTCCTTTGTTACTCTTTCCTCTTCATCATTTGAACATGCACTCATCTGAAGTGAAAGTCTTTTATTTGAGGTTTCCTTCTAATTAGAATTATTGATATTTCCGTTAGAAAAATTTAGACCAGAGCTTTTTCTTGGATTTTAAATTTTATTAACTGTCTATTTTTAAGGTTAAAGTAATACTGCTCCATGGGATTATCTTTTTTTCTAAGCTGATGATGCTCTATCTCTTATTGGAGAGTTAGATTTTTAACTTATCTTTTGTTAAAGTCCACTATTTCTGGTAGAACCATACATGCTTCCAGTAGTTTATGCCAAATGCATAAGAGGAGTTTAACTAATAGTCTTTTTGTGAGAGAATTGTATTTATCTAACTTATTACTAAATTCCAGCTGCGTTTATATTCGACGAGAACAATGGTTGAATTCTAGGTTAATGATTTACCATTTACTTTTTCAGAGGTGAATTGAAGCTAGGATTAAATACCTCAGTCTTTGATGTTTATCTTTTTTTTATTGATTATAATGCACCTAGATCCATTTAATAACCATCTTCAGGATCAAATACATCAAGCAATTATTAGTCTACAAAATCATCTTCTCCTACTTCAACAACCTTTATTTCCTCTAGAGTTTGATCTAGATCTTAGTTTTATTCCTCTAAAATAACCTAGTCAAGTTGATCAATCATCTATTAAGGTGATGCTCTCTAACCTCTTTTCAGAGGAGTTGATTTCTAGCTTGAAGATTTTAAAGAATCTGATTTCGAAACTAAAGAGGCTCGAACACTCTATGGTATCCTGTAAGTTCTATACGGTGTCACAATATTACCATCATTATTCTAAGAAGTTCTGCTATTTTTTTAGTGAGAATTTCCTTTAATAAGTAATTTGTCTTTTTTCAATGTCAAAGCTCCTGTTGGTGTTCTTTTGTGATGGCCGCCTCTATGAGTCTTGTAAAATGACTGTTGGGGAGTTTTATACTCAGGTTACTTGCTTTAACCAATCAAATCTGGATTAATTGTTGTTAACTAGTGATCTTAGACATTTGTTGAATTATAATGAGCAGCATTAAACATTACTTTTGAAGATGTCTCTGATGAATCTTGGCTCTGTCTATATGTAGAGGATTTTTATGATTGCTATTATGGGTTCATTAATTAGTTTTAGGTTTAGGGACCTATTGTCTTAAATGAACTACTACTATACTCTTTGTCAGTAGAACTCCTTTCTTATTAATAGTAATGATTGCCTAGATTTTATCTTTTCTATGAGTCATGACGATCTTAACCAGCTGTATTAAGGTTAGCGAGATGATTAGCCTATTGTAGATAGGAGTTTAATTATTTTTCGACATTAATCTAATTTAAGACAGTAAGCTATGACTACTCGTGAAGTTGTTAATTTTCTACGAATGATTGACTTTCTAAATTCTATAAAGTGTCATTATTACCCTGATGAAATAGATCATTAGAAGAATTTTCAATATGATTGCGGGACATCAATGATCCTTAATGTAAAACTGGAACTAAGTCAGGATTCATTTCCTCGAGTTACAATTTGTGGAGGTGGTTTTTGGACGGAGAGGCAGTAGTGATCTTTGTTTCTTCAAATCCTGCTCCATACTAATCAATATCGTGCTGGGAAGACTCGTTATAAAACTAGATAAAAAAGGTAAAGATCAGGAATAGCTGCGAATAAATTACTTTATTGAGAACACCAATCATATGCAGAGGAGCATTTTAGTTGAGATGTTTTTAAAATCTTGAGGAATCAAAGTCATGCGTCTCGAAATTTATCTACTCCCCAATTATATTACTCTCAGGATTCACTTATGCTATGTAATATTGCTAATTTTAAAGAGTATTTCTGGAGAGATCGACCTATCTCTGATCGCTAGAGTCATTAAAACAGGAAAAGAATCGCTTGAACATTTTAATATATTTATTAATCCTCCAAACTTTAAATCCACTATAATTTTATAATTTACGAAGGGGTTTTGGGGTTTTGGGGAGATCGGAAGAGCGTCGTGTAGGG